GGATACAATGAGTTGTTTTGCCGCAGCAGTTGATTCATATTCTACTTGTGAACCAGTGCAACCCCAGTCCTCTCCTGCCGTGCTCCTACCTCATTGCGTATTCCCTGTTTTGTGTTTGTGTATTCTGCTTTGCCTGCCTAAGAGGAGTGCTTTGCACTTGTCTTAATTTCATCTCTTTTGCTTTCAGGCAAGATCTCTCGTTTGTAAAGACTGTTGTTAAGTGCTGAGCCTTTCTAGCAGGGTCCCATATTTACCTGCCTCTATGACAGACAGTGTTGGAAATCTCCAGACAACAAAGATACAACATACCCACTGCAAGAAGTACAGTGCCCTCCAGCACAGCTCAGCTAGGATACAGATGCAATCTTCACACCTACTTACACTGCTCTTCCAACTAATATTCATGTGAAGTTCTTGTATTCCTGATTTTTAGAGACTGCTTCCCTCACAAGGGATCACGTGTCTTCTCCTGAGCAATCTTCTACCACATCATCCAATGACATTCCACAGGATCTGTCTTTTAGACCTTATCTCCAGCCACCTACACCTACCCTGCCCTATGGCCCTACTCTCCCCTGCCAAGACCCTAAACCAGCCACAGCCTTGAGGTAGGACCTCCACTTTCCTTGAAGCAGCTGCATAACAGTGTCCAAAGCTGGAATACACTAACATAAACTTTAACACAATTCTGTTAAAGATGGATTAAATAAGGGGTTGGAAAACAAACTTACCTGATGGTCACTGTGTCCAAACAGTGCAAGGTCCTCTTCTGCTCTGCTTCCTACCAGTCTTCGGTAGCTCTCTGCACTCAGGTGTCCTCCTTTCCACATCCACAAACATTGGCTGGGGCACTGCAAAGCTCTGAGTGTTCCAGGCTGCGCTGCCCAGGTTGAATAGATTGAAGACCTCATTTTGAAGAATGAAGTCTCCAAAACCACATTTGCAACAGAGGCTGCTCCAAGAGAAAGATCCCTGGGGCCCAGCATGTGCCTTTAGCTGATAAAGATCCTCTGCATGATCCCAGTGGTCAGGGAACAGTGAAGTGAATGCTTTCACCACCCACCCACTTCTATTTGTTTTGACATAATTCCAGTTCTCCCCTCCCCACCACTTCACAGCTCAGTTTTGGCAGGGAGGGCAGAGGCCTTTAAAGCTGGTGGGTTGTGAAGAGCAAAGATTCCTAAATTACATTTCCACGAAGGACATGGCACTGTTCTTGCATGCCTTCGTCTGAGGGTTTCAACGTGCATCCCAGGACCATTACCTCCCTTGACGCTGTACTCTATGTATATAAAGGATAGAGCGGCTGCCTTGGGTTGCTCCTTTGGAAGGTGGTGAGGTCAGCAGAAAGCTTACAAGAGTCACTAAACTTAGAACTAGAACTAGTGTGACAGCAGGTTTAAAGTGGAACATAACACAGGTTAAGACTCAGCTTACCAGCTCTTCTGGGGATGGTTCTGTCTGCTGAGGTAGTGGGAGAGCTAGAGGTTGGGTAATTGCATTCCTGGACTTCTTGGAGAGACCTACTCCACACAGCGAGTGCTGCAGTCCTTCCCTAGTGGCTGTCAGCTGCTTATCAACACAATGACACACACAAAAATAAATCTCAGGGCAGCTTGGTGCTGATGTGTCTGTAATAAGGGAGAGAAGCAGTCTATCAGCTGAAGCACTGGGCTAAATGGAGCAAAATGAAATCAGGTAGCACTGCTGCTCCTTCTAAGACCGTGATCCTTCAGGATTTGGCTGGAAAGCTGCTCCGAACTGCTGCCATGGACAGAATGCTGATTCCAAGCCCAGCTCTCTCACCCGTTGTCGTTTTCCAAATGGCATTTCCTTGTGCTTGCTCAAGCACAGATCAAACCTTGCTGCTGCCCCCCCGGTGCTGCCTGCTCACAGTCTCACGTCTGCTCCCCATTCACACTAATGTAGGGCAGGATCTTTCCTGCTTGCCAGAGGTGTGAAGCCAATGTAAATTACTTTCCCTTTTGCATTGAGGATAAGTCTTATTATCAACCTGTCAGATCTAGACAGCTGCCAAGATGCTTTATAAGAAGAATCAAACCAGGCCCAATCTCAACAGATAGATTCTTGTCCCTCTGTGGGGGCCCCATGCAGCGCTTTGGCCTTTGCCAGCAGAAGCAATGTAGATTATACTTTCTTTTCTCTCTTAACTGAGCTATATCAGTCAAAGCCAAGCATGGGGAGGATGGAGACTGCTGCAGCATCAAACAGCCCACTGTAGCATCAAACGGTAGGTCATAAGCAAATTGTTTCCCAGGCTTTTAGCCAGAGACATCTTACAATGAGCTGACAGAGGAGTTACTTGGTTTCATCCTTGAAATTCAGCCCTCTCCAGTATTAGAAACTCATGGTCTCAGTAGAGACCAGCACAGCCCCCAGAGCAGTTGGCATGCCAGCAAAGAAGGTACCCCTCACAAATAAAAGAGGGAATTTTGCATGACAGAACAGGATTACATGCTTTGCAACCCAGCCAAGACACAGAAAGGAAACACATCTCCCCCTCTCTGGCTTTGTAGGTTCCCTCCACACGACATGGAATTCACTTTAAAGTAGAAGTCAGGGAGTCAGGGGAAACTTCCCTGGTTGTTACTGGTCTGCGGAAGCCAGATATGACCAGCGGAGGTTGCTTTGCCATGGTGCCCCTGGGTGATATGGATGCACAGAAAGAGCATGGTTTCAGAACACCCCAATGGTTCAGATGAGCAAAACTACTTCATGTGACCATGCCTTCTTTCCCTGCTTCTGTAGTCACTCATGGTCACCTCAGCACCTCCTCTTCCCTAGGATGAACAGCCTCATCCCTCCTCAGAGCATGAAAATCTTTGAGACAAGAGGCAGAAACAATACAGTCATAATACTTTTGTTCTCTCAAAACACTCATGCCAATTTGTATCCAACAGCTATTCTGATGGGAAAAGAAAGCTGTTATTTGACTACCCTTATACCCCAGCTGTGCCCCTCACTGACTTTACAGCAGTAACACTTGCTGCAGCTCTGTGGGGGGAAAGCTTTATGAAAGCTAGCAGTGGTGAAGGCAGTGGAAATTAGGAGGTAGCAAGAGTCCCTCCTTCTCTCATCATTTCCATCCCACTCCTGTAGCCTACAAACTCGGATATGGCTATGCAGGGTCACAGCTGCATTAGCAAGCTCTTGCGCAAATCAGATACACATGCTCACACTCCCATGGAAACATGCTCCTGGCCTACGCCAATGATTTGTCTCATGCAGAACTGACACATTTTAGGATCTAATTATTATTACAAAGCCCTAAACATCATGAAGCGGACTCTCAGCCTTTGCTCATCAATGCCCAACTGTTCCCACTGATCTCTTCTCTTGGAGCAGCAGTTTGTTAGCTGCAGGAACAGTCTGTCATTTTGAGCTTGGAAGCTAACTAACTAGAAAAGGTTGAGCCTAGGATTTGGTATCTCCCTGCCAGAGGCTCAGATTTGATGCCCAAATCTGAGTCTGTGATATTCTGGGTATTTGGATTTTAGTACCATGTGAGCTATGTCAGAGCATAGCTCTTGCCAGTCGATTCATGGCCCAGAAGGTTACAATTTCTGTTGAGGATCAATGGTATTTAAAATGGGATCAGGTAGCTTTATGCAGACAAGAAAAAATTCCCATATTCCTTTATCATATTTTGTTCACAAATAGGATGAGGGTTAGGTCCATAAGTCCTGATGCCAGGATGCCTTACCTTATCCAATTGTCCTGGGCTCAGCAGTAGCAGTCATTTTTCTCCTTAGTAGCTGGTGCAGTGCTGTGTTTTTGACTTTCAGCCTGGGAACATGGCTGATAACACCGATGTTTTTAGTTGCTGCTCAGTAATGTTTACTCTGACCAAGGACTTTCTGAGCCTCATGCTCTGTAAGGGAGGAGGGGAAGCCGGAAGGAAGCAGAGGCAGGACACCTGACCCAAACTAGCCAAAGGGGTATTCCATACCACAGCATGTCATGCCCAGGATGTAGAACTGGAGGCAGTTACCCAGAGGGGTTAGATCACTGCTTGGTCGAGCGGGGTATCGGTCTGTGGGTGGTGAGTGGTTGTATTCTCTTCCCTTGTTATTTCCCTTATCATTATTATTATTGGTGGTAGCAGTAGTGGTTTGTGTTATACCTTAGTTACTGGACTGTTCTTATCTCAACTCATGGGAGCTACATTCTTTTGATTCTCCTTCCCATCCCTCTGGGAACAGGGCGGGAGGAAGGGGGCAGAGTGAGCAGCTGCGTGGCTGACTGGGCTTGAACCACTACACCAATACAGTTCTTTCAGAAGGAAGCATACTCAGTTTATCATTGAGAAGGGGAGCCAAGGCATCTTGGATTCCTTCACAGTTACTGCCCCCTTTGAGCTGACTGCATTAGAACTGTCTATAACGAGGAACAGTTCAGCTACAGTGTTTACAGCCCAAGTCTAATAGAAAGTCTCCTGTGGCTAGTGTGCTGCTCTCAGGAGTCTGCAAGACATCACCCTCCATGCAAGCTGGTTGGATGCTTCTCCAAAAATCAGCCTACACACCTTGGCAGCACAACCTGTCACTAATCCCTAAAAAACAACCTCTTTTGAGAGCTAAAAATAGGTACTATTTTTTTAAAGAACAAATTAATTACTCTTAAATTTCTGCATATTAGAACTATTAAGTCTCTACTTTACAGCTGCCCTCAATTTGGCTTTTCACCCTGATTTACCTGTTTTTGCACACATCAATGGTGGCAGAGACTGGCATATCCAGACAGTGTCTGCAAATGATGTGGTCTGTGAACCTTCTTAAGCCACAGATGGAGGAGCATGAAGGTTGTGTGCAGAGGCTTGTGCCATCAGTTTGTTGCTCACAGATGAGCAACCCCGGCTGGAACAAAAGCATCCAGCGTAACCGAATGCCACAGGATAAGTAGATGGGTATTTCAGCAAATCAAATTCAGATCTCTTTCCCCTGTTAAAGCTGTCTTTTTTCCAACAGTCATGTTGGAAAGGTGCTGAGGTCTTCATACTGGTTTTTAACACAGCAGAATTTCATACCCTGGAACTCTGCAGAGGAATGGTAAAAATAAAACATAAAATTGCCCTCTCAGCACAACACATTAGTATTGCCCAGCAATCTGGCTGTTTTGTATAGGAGCCTTGCCCATATAAGCACCTTTCACATTTTCAGCAAAAGCATTCATATTTTCAGAAGCATGGATCTAATTCTCTTCCTTTACTACTTTCAGTTTAGCTTTTGTAATATGGAAAAGGAACAAGACCTGAGAGCCAAGAATGTTTTCATTGAAATCAGTGTGTTTGCCCCAGTAAGAAACTGCATTGGATCAGTTCAGCACCAGACTACTAATCACTATGAAAAAAACATTTCTGTGAGAATCATCTCCATTAGGGTGATGCCAGCTTCCACTGAACATCTGTGATTTCACCAGAAGATGGATCTGGCCTGCAACAAAACCTCTTCCAGTCCAGCTGCAGGAATATAAGTCAAATCTCTTGGACCTTATAATCTCATTGCAAAATATCACTTTACCTGTTACACATCTTCCCTTACCTTGAGGTGCTTAGAGCCCACTCCCCCAAAAATGTCAAGTATAAAGCTGTTCTAGCTGACCTTTCTGAGCTTGGTTGGAGCATAAGGACCTGGGAGGGAGAAGAATTTCTTATTCCAACTTCAGCTCTGGTTCAATTAGAGCCTCGGTTAAAAGCTCAGGTTGATTTCATTATATCCCAATGGCTCATTTCTTCTTTAGTCTGCTCCCCCTGCCCTTCTACCTGTTATATAGACATACAGAAATCAAGGTGGCCTTAAATTTGTAGTCCCTCCTCAAACAAGGCTCAGACCAAACAGATGCCTCTTTATTTCAATCCAACCATGTACAGTGGAGCCTTCAGTGGCTTTAATCAGCACCATGACACTACAATAAGGATTATAAATTAAAGAACATTTTTGAAACCTGGCCTGGCTTCCTTCTGATAAAAAAGCATAAGTTCAAAAAGGTGAAGAGAAACTCACTGCTCTGTGTTGCTATCATCAGACAATCCCTTTGGCTCAGCAGTCATGGGTTTTATCACACACTCACACACACAGACACAGAGCTCACAAGATAGTAATCAATTCAGCATTTTGCTAAAGCACTTAGAACAGGAACATCTGGATTTGAGATTCAATTGTCCAGAACTAGCTGCCTGATAATTAATATTCCTTCAAATGGCTTTTCTATCAAGGTGTCCCTCCTGATTCACCAGCCATTCCCCTGTGGCTTGGATACACTACTGAGTAGTTGCTCATTCCCCAGCCCAAGCCTTGTGTAGAAAGAGTGGAGACAGACAAGCTGGAGAACTTATGTTTCAGCATTGCCTCAGGCACATTCACCAAGACTGTGTATGAAAAACATCACCTCACTTCAACAGCAACAGTTAAAAACAACACTTGAGGAAATGCTAGAGGAAATTTTCATGGGAATACACTTGTTTTACCTCCATAAGACAAGTGGAAGGAGGATGGAGTCACCATTGTAAGATCACTTTGAGATTCATCTCCAGTTCCAGTGTCTGGATTTTACAACTCTAAAGGGTCACATCCTTCAATGGCCTTTGGACCGTGCTCTGATGCAACTCAGAAATGGATCTTTAACCATCACTAGTCAGGCCAAGCCCTGTATCTCTGTATGCCACACATGTGCAAGTTCAGGCTCTTCAAGCATAAAGTGACGCCTATATAATTGCTGCACTCTTAGATAGCGGTTGCTCCTCCTTGCTGCAGCTCTAAAAGCATGCCCAATTGAATTGCAAATATTTCACTCTTAACCTAAGTGCTGGGCAGCAAGGGGATCCTTTCAGCTGTCTGAAAAATATCTTGTTTCAAAGAAGCCTTGCTTTCTAGTTGCAGGGAAACAAAATAACTAGGCTGGGGGGAATGTGTGGACCCTACATCAAGTAGCAGATGTGTCCATAAAGGTTGACAGATCTATTCTAATACAGATAATCATAGATTCATAGAATAGTTAGGGCTGGAAACATCTAGTTCCAACATGAGCAGGTGGACACCTTCAGCCAAGAAACTCTGGGTACTTCTCAACTTTGAGGTTTTCCACCATTTTCTTACCTTCGTTTTGCCCCAGATCATATCCCCCAGCAGCTCTGCACACTGGTTTAGAGCTCAGTCCCATCTTCACAAGTCTGTCATAGGGCATCTTCAGTGAGCTCTGCCCTGGGGAAGGGCAGGGGAAATCATGTTGCCCACACAATTTGCAAGTACAGCTTTGTCTATTTGATTTCAAGTGCATTTCAAATCTCTTTAAGCTTCCAACAGGGAGAAAGAGATCTGATCCTATACAATCTCATTCACACCTCTTCTCCTACTGCTGTGGAAGCATGATGTAGACTTCTCGGCAAATGTAGCCCTATCCCTCAGGGTCTCTGCATTGCTTGCTTAGCTGAGCCCCATTAAATTATGTTCAAATCACACTAAGAGTAAAATCAGGATGTGTCCCTTGTATACCTGGCTTTTTTATTTATTTGCTTCTAATAGAATTTATCATCCAGAGGAATTTCATTTTTTACAGAGCTGCTTCTTTTTCCCCTCTGCAATTTGGGTCAAATCCTATCACTGAGCTCTGCTAAATTTGTTGCAATATTAGCACTGCTGTCCCCAGCCTGGTGGGGATGTGACAAGTAAACATTGCTGAGCTGTGCTCCAAATCCAAGCTGAGAACAACAGAACTGCTGTGGAAAATAGAATCCTGAGGCATCCTAACCCAGCTCCAGGGAGCCTGAGGCTGGGAGGGGATGAGACAGGCATAGAGCAAGTACTGCCTAGAACTTGGATAGGAAAGGAGGGCTGGAATAGCCTCTGCAAGCTCCACACTTTCAGACACTGACACATACATTTTTCTAGCTGTACTGTTCTCTCTGTTGAGAGATATGTTGGAATCCTCATTCTCAAAATAAAAGCAGACATAGGGCCAGAAAGAAATAGAGGATGACAGTAGAAGGTCAAATGGACAGGGGAGGTAAAATCACAAGGAAATAAAGAGAAATGAGGCTTTTTATTGGGCCTGTTCTGGTGATGCACAGGTGGGAACATGACAAAGGCTGTCCTGACATGTAATTCAGGATGGCTGCTGCTTACAAATGGCTGTGATTCTCCAAAACCTGGCTGGAAAAATGGGCAGTGAGGAGAAGAAAGTGGCCAGGATGCATTGCCTACATGGGCCAAGAGCTTGCAGCTTTTGAACAGCAGCAAACCAGCTCAGTCCACCTCAGGGGACATGTCTATAGGCAACAGCACTTCACCAGGGACTTCTACCCCCTACTTACTCTAGAGCAACTACAGTTTTAAACAAGCATTTTCAGCATGGAAAAGGACTCTCAAGTTTACTCCCCCCAAAAGACTCATCAGGCAGCAAGTGGGAAGGAAACAGCTCCCTGCAGGAAGAACACCACCCTCCCCCTTTCACATCACCTCATTCCGGCTCTCCCTCCCCAGCCTACCTGGACTCCTTTGCTCTCAAGACTCTGACTTGCCTTGAGAGTCTCAAGACTCTCATGACTGCCTCCTAAGGGACTCTGTCAACCAGTCTCCTAAGTAGATCAAGTCTGCCACCTAGAAGCCCCAGGCAGTTCTGCTGACCCTCCTTCTTTACTTCTCTAAGAATCAAAAACCCCATCATTTTATGGTCACTATGCCCAAGACTGCCTCCAACCATCACATCACACACACCTTGGAGCATAGGCACTCATACTAACCCTGTAGATAATGTTGATAATAACACTCCATGGCACGCATGATCTGGGCTGCTCAGCCTCCCAGCTGAAGAGCTCAATGCAGACCTGGCTGCTGTGTCCTATTTTTAATGTGCGACATAAAAAATAGAAGATGTAATGGGTTTCTGTTTTCAAATAGGCTTCCAACTGTGCCACCTGGCAGTCAAGGAGATGTGGGGGGACAAAACCCAAACAATTAGGTCATAAAAGCTCCAGGAGAAAGCCACCTAGTGTTTGATAACCCAGGTGTCTATTTTGCAATCTGTGGAAATGCTCAGGATTTATTCCTACAACCAACAACTCTCATGCTCCTATATTTATTTTCCATATCAGTTCTAGAGCTGAGACGCATTGGCTTCCTGCCCCTACAGCAGTCTCACACTGGGGGTGATTTGCATCTCTCACACGAAGGATACCCAAGCTGTGGGGTGATTTAGCAGCTAGTGTATTGTGGTCTGTAGCAGAGAGAGAAGATACTTGGCAGTGGAAACAGTACAGAACAGCCAACAAATAGTCTTCTGCCTTTCACAGCCTTTAATGAGCCCTTTGATTCTTACCTGAACAGCAAGGGAACAGACAACCCTCCAACCCCACCAGCACATAACTGACCCCTCTCTGAGAACAAGGAGATGAAACCATAAGCAGTGAGTTACAAACATGGAGTATTTCTGAACTCATTTGTCTGCTTATTGGATCCAGGCCCTATTCCAACCTGCAAATGGGATGTGCTTCACTAGCTTTAAATCACTCAGCAGGTGATAAGTGGTAACGCCTGGAGCATTGAGGTGCCTTCAAAACATAATTGCTTATTAAAATAAAACAACAATTAAGTGGAAGACACAGAACCTTGTGATTTCTGGAAAATGGATCATTTTTTATAATGAATCTCTGAGGTTGTGAGCAGACAAGGTGCAGCCATAAAACAAGGAAGAAAGGCTGAGACCTGAGGACACACTCTGCTCTGGCAGCTGAGGAAGGGAAGAAGTGGCAGGACTTGGAGGACCCATGGAAGGGATGCTCCCACAGCAAAGACATAGCTGCATTTGATGAGCAGAGAACATTCAGGTTTGCACTGAGGGAACAAACTTCAGGCTCAAGAAGCCCAAAACCATGACAACCATGGACATTCCTCACAGTTTTTGATGTCTGAGGTGTCAGGGGATGTTTTATATCCCTACATTCCCCCTTCCTTCCCTTCTTCTAAGCACAGAGACCTGAAGTCTCCATCTCTTCTTCAGGAAAGTTCTGCTAAACCCTGCCTGCCCTAAGAGCTTTGATTAGTCAGAGTAGAAACCACTGCATTAACAGTTCAGAGCGTAAAATCCTGATTGTTTTCATCCTCTTCACCAGTGTGGCTGCATAGTTTTAATCAATGCCTTTGGGCTTAATCCTAATTATTTCACTGCAAACTACAGGAACTACAGGAATAGTTGCGGCTTTAGCTGCCCACCTCCCATTTCATCCTCACTCATTCCTTACAGTGCCATTTGAGGCTATTACTCAGTACTTCAGGTCAGCAGGTGATGAGGGAAACTTACTACCTTTCTGTGCCCCAGCTTCTCATTTGGTGACAAACTCCTGCAAACACTGAGCTGAGAATTGATGAGAAATCATCAGCATAGTTTAGGTCCTAAACTTCCAGATTTGGCCACTCCTTGCAGATATAATCCCACAGCAGAGCAGCAGGGATGGACAAGTGTTACCATAGACCCTCCAGACACATGTCTTGTTTCACAAGTTCACCATTGACAGTAACAGGGAGCTGGTGTTAACACACAGGGGGCTGTCCCATATACCAGACTAAGATGTCTGTCTGTCTTGAAAGTATCTTATTTTAATGCAATCCCAGGTACTATATTACAAAATTACTGTGAGGGTGCTGAGGCACTGGCACAGGTTGCCCAAAGAAGCAGTAAATGCTCCATCTTTGTCAGTGTTCAAGGCCAGGCTGGGCAGAGCCTGGGGCAACATGGTCTAGTGTGAGGTGTGATTATGGCAGGGGGTTTGGGACTAGATGATCATAAGGTCCTTTCCAACCCAAACCATTCTATGATCCCATGACTACCAAGTGTTAATTGGTTCTTTGTTAAGAACCTCAGCAGAGGGTCAAGGCTGGAATGGGCAATGGAGAAGTCGTCTCCAGAGAGAACTTCCTACCCTCCCCTTCCTGGCCAGGGAAAGGAGAAAACCAGATTGTCTGGCCTATAGCTATCCCCAGAGCTCCCCATATTGGCAAGGGGTGCCAGACAATTTTGGCTTCTAAACATTTCCACATTAAAAATGACTGCCAGCACTTCAGCGAATCTCCGGCCTCAGCAAGCAGGAAGGAGGCAGCAAGCAGCTAAATGCAGAGGCTATTTTTAACCTGGGCTCATTTCTTAGGGAAGAAATTATTCATAACCTGTATGCACGCAGTGCATCAGAAACAAGGCAAGCTTGGCTGAAAACACTCCTTAATGGAACAGCCATCTCCCCACTTTCTGCACTGGAAAGCAAGGTCTCTTCTTGCTGTCTTACAAGAGATTGCAGGGAAACACTAAAGGTGTGAGATTACCTTTTTCATGCACACCTGTGCAGTGGTAGGAGAGGAAGCAAGCTTTGAGACATGTCATAGTTGTGGCACTAGCTGCCTATCTGCCATTTCATCCTCACTCATGCTTAGAGCCACTCTTACAGCTTTTCTTGCAGCTCCTACTTCTGTTCCCTCCAGCCACACTGTTAACAAGCTGGGTCCTGCACCCTTCTGAGAGGTTCTCTTCTGAAACAGACTTTAGCTTAGCCTAAGACAATTCATATTTCTTTCCAGTCTTCTCTACACAGGAAAATGCAGGTTTCCTGAGCTTGGAAACCCTTTTCTTGCAGCCCTCTTGCTTCTCCTAGCACTTCCCTCCTTTGCCATAACCAGTGGTCAAACGTTTCTTGCCCAGCAAGGGCCCAGATCCCTTTGAACTGCAGTCCTGATAACTGGGTTTGGCAGGAAATATTTGTCTGTAAGACCTTTCTCATCTTTTTGATTTCACTTTTATAAAGTACATGCTCAAGGATTTCAACCCTGAAGGTAAAAAACAAGATGATTATGATCATGCAGTCTGACCTCTCACTTACCTGTGGACGTAAAAATTCACCCAGTAGTTCTTTACTGAGATCAGGAACTCCTAGTTGAGCTGGATTGCCTCCTTCAGGAAAGTGATCTGAACTCGAGGTATTGGATTTAAATTACAGAGATCTTGCCACATCCCTTAAGCAACCACTACAGGGGTTCATCATCCCGTTGTTAAAAACATCCACCTTGTTTCCCAATTGGAAATCAATGTTAGACACAGACATTGGAAATTGTTACATCCCTTTCTTCTGTGGTCTAAAAAGGCCCTTAACATTCAGTATTGAGGGTTTTTTCCCCTGAACTGTGAACAAGCTACTCCTAACTTCTATGTGGTATGCCAGCTTTACAGCAGAATACACACAACAGATAAACAGCAGGTCTAAAATACACTGGTTCAGCATCAGTCTCAGCCAGAGCAGTTTGACTTTTCAATGGTTTTCTGATTGGAGAGCCCCATTCCCATGCCTGTCCCTAAAATCAAGTAGCTGCTTTTGTGCCCCTGCATCTCAGCCAGCTCAGAGGTGGTATGTGCCACTAACCTCATCCTAACAGCTCTTTTGTTCACAATAAGCATAAAGGCCAGAGTAGCAGACCTCCTGCTTTGTTTCAGGTTCCAATAAGCTTACAATACTATTGTTAAAACATTCAGCTCTTTTTAGCTGGAAGTCTTCAGGTCCCTTGAGATGGATGAGTGCACTGGGGAGAAGGGAAGAAAACAGAAAGAGGTAAAGCTCAGAAGCCAGCCAAAATACTTGGGCTCTGAGCTTAGCTCTCAAACAATTGCAAACCATGTTTTCAATCTGCTACTTAAGGATTCCTGGGACCTACAGACCACTTCTAAGAGCTTGTAACCGGTAGTTAAAAGAGTAAATAGAGCCATAAATTCTTGCAAGAAAATCCATCACGCCACTCTAGTTTTCGGGGGCCACACTCCAAATGGGGATAAAGCCCACTGATTACAGGGCATAGGTACAACTACACAGCTGAAGAGGACCTTGTGCTCCTTTTCCTCCATGACAAAGAGCATCTGCTTCTCAGTGAAAAAATCACACCTCAGTTAAGAGAGCATGGACACTCCAGCTATCCCCAGAAAGCAACTAGAAAAATAAATGCACCTGATCATAATGTAGCTTTCACTAGTTGCTCACAGCAGACCAACAGCTCTTACACATAAACCTCTCCCAGCAATAACACTAAAGAGAAAGGAAAACATCACAAGCAATGCAGATGAGACAGTTATTTAAAGGGAATCAAAGCCAGCAACACATCTTACAGCTGAAGTGGGCTAGGGTTTGGGGAGGAGGGAAGAATCAACTCAAAAAAACACAATCAAAGAAGACCCCATCTCCTTGCCCAAGTAACTGAGCCACAGCTCCTCCTGCCTAGGCCTTTCAGCAGAGGAAATTGAAGTGAATGATGAACTGATGCCCAGCAGCTGGGGCACTTTGCAGAGCTGATGTGTCCCTCTCCCAGACAGCCAAGAGGGCTGCAATTAGCCCTTCTTCCCAAATGTCCTCCATGAACTTCTCACTCCAGCAAGCAGAAATACACCATATATTGGACTTGCTATGGTGTGGGTGGAAGTAGTACAGGTGGGAGGGGTTAACCAGGATATAAATAAAAAGCCTAAACTGTGACAAAGCAAGAATAATAACAATACATCTGCATCATGAGCTCCGATATCTCTGTCTCTTCAAATACTGTGGCTATGCACACCTCCACGTTTCCCACGGCTATGAGTTCTACCCTGTTAGCATGAAACTTCTTTTCCTAAAGAGAAATATGAGGCAAGTCCTTTTCTTTAATATATTTTTTAAGAAAAAAGACAGAATAATCTTTGTATGAATCCATAAAACATAAACTTTTATTATCCTCCATCTGCTTTCCCACCGGATGGTACATATTTGCCAAGCACCCCTTGGAGGCAAGGGAAAAGAAAGAAAGTTGCCATGAAGAAATCCAAAGTGATAGGAAGATCCTAGGGTAGCTGTTGTAATTTATAATCAGCACATTTAATATGGAACACTAAGGCACAGCTGCTGAGAAAACTTGTCCAATATGCTTCTGCAACAGCAAAAAAGGCCTCTGAGGTCATCTTGGTGCCTACGTTATGCTACAAAGAAATTGTCTAATTGCAGAACCTTGTGCAGTCTTCGGTATTAACCTCTTTTGCTCACAGCCAGCCAAGAAACACAGCTCTTTTGTTTAGAAAGCCTGGAGCAAGATGGATTAATAAATCCACCATGAAGAGTCTTTTATTGTTGATCCTAGATTTATATCAGGAATAATCTGTTTTTTCCCCTGAGCAGAGTACTAGGCCAATGACACAAAGCAGGACTCACCTTAAGACTAATAATGTTTCCAAGCTCTCTTCTTCCATCCAACTTGCCAGTCTGTGCTGCAAAGTCCCTGGCTCATTGTGCAGGGGCTGAACCGGTAAATTCCCCTGGCCGGTGTGTGCTCATGGCTTTAAGATGTTCAATGCCTTATGATTTCAGATCCAGAAGGACCTTGGTCCTGCAGACAAAACGAAAGCAATTTCAAGGAGGGCCCAGGCCAAGGTGTAGAGGAGAGAACAGAGCCCAGAGAGCTTTGCAGTGCTCAGGCAGAACAAATACATCAGAGTCCAGAGCTGTAATCCACCATTTAATCCTTGTGTGCAGGGGACCGGACAGTGGTTCAGGCTGGCTGGCCATGGAAACTATTAGTAAAGCAGCCCAGTGTCTCTGGAGAAGCCAAAAAGCTTGGAAAGTGACTCAGAGAGATGGCTAAGGAGACCTGTGAGCAGGAGTTTCTCCTTGTGGTTTCTAAAACATCATCATCACAAGCTGAAATGAAACAACTTCTGTCTCAGAAGCCTTGGCTGTATCTGCAACGCTGAGGTTATGTACAAATGGGCCTCAGCTGACAGCCACATCCCAGAGGAAAAAGCAGTGAGAGCTGTAATTGCAATTGTTCAGGGTTTACATGAGGATTTCAGTTCTCAGGGATTCCGCTTTGCTAAGCCTGCATCTCTGAACACTGGGTCTGAAACAGGCATCAACGCTTGCTCATAACTTCCATAACCTGCCTGACATCCACCCAATACCAGAAACCCTTGCTGCCTCCCTTGAAACTTGGCTCAGACAACACAAATCCCAGCTGCAGGCTAAGTGAACATTTTGTGAGCCATTCAGCAAGACTGGCTGGAGTTCCAGTTTGCAGATGATTTGTTTTCTGTGAGAAGAGGCCAGCCAAACTCACCCACAAAACCTGAAGGCTTGCTCAGCTACAGAGATGGTAGAGCTGAAACAGCCGCTCTTTGCCTGAAGTCATGAGAAGTTTGGGATTGCTCAGACAACTGTTGTAACTAGATTTAAGAGCAATCAACTGCCCATAGAAATTGGAGTTTGTAGTTTTAGTTGTAAGCATACTAAATAAATGTAATGAATTGAGTAATCTTGTGTATGTTGGATATTACCATAACAGAGCCCTACAGAAATGTTGTTTCTTAGTAACCTCCCAGAAGCCTCTGCAAGAAAACAGAAGGGCCAATGATTCATGAACACTTGCTAATGCAGATGGTGCTGAGATTGTTAATCAAAGAAAGATAAAAAATTATGGCTGAGCAGGCACCAGTCTGTCCACGAAGCCTTTTCTAATTAAAAGCAAAATGGGCAAGGCAAGGATAAAGCAAAGGGTTCCTAAGGTATTAAATCTTGTCTAATTAGCAATTGTCTAGAACCAGTGTTAGTTTTGATTTGGATGAGTCTGGAAAGCTCCATGTTAACAAAACTATGTTAGAAATGGAAGTTATTCCAAGAGATCATACCATAGAAAGACTTAACTAGGCTAGTAGGTCAGTTTGGAAGAGTCTAGCTCTTCTCCAGAGCTACTAAGCACTAAGGGGTTCTTTCCTTTTGATCCCTGCCTAGTGCTAAGAGAGGAGACAGTAATGGGACCCAGAGATTTATTTTGATTTTGATTTTTAAATTGGTTTGTGGTCCATGGTTTACTATTTACTTTGCACTTGTGGTCACAGGTCTCAGTTTGTGCCTTCAGAGTCTGCAATCCCCTTACACTCCCAGCCCGGTATTAACTGAGCCTGGGGCTAATTGGCTTCCAAGATCTGGAGTGCCTCAGGCAGTCTGATGTGACTAAAGGTTGTGCTACCACAGAGCTTACACTTGCAGTTAAGTGCACTTACACTTCCTAACTACAAGAGGGTGACATCGTCACACATAGCTCCGCATTAATGCCATGTTAACCAGAAGACATGTTCCCTACCTCAGTTTTCTCATGGTACTTACAAGGCAAGAGAGATTAGACTAAATCTACAAAAGGCACAGATTTTTGAACCTGAACTTTCAAGTTCAGGGAAGAAGGATCCCTGTTTTACCAACACTTCTAAAATGTACCTCCTTCCTAACCATTGTAGCAATTGGTTTATTTCAAACTCCAATAATTTATGGAGTAATTCCATGTATTAGCTTTCCTTTTGAAATACAGCTAGAGTCCACACATGAAGTATGTTATGCCTGGGCCATTTTCTCTTATTTCTGGGAGCTGCTATCAATTTTGCCCTGGTAGATATTTGGCTCCATCATACTATAAGAAAAATAATTAAAATGACAAGAGAAAAGCATCTTTAATTCTTCATTTTTGTGAATCAAAACATCCTCATTCGGACGTCACAGCAAAAGTCCCAACACCAAAGTGTCCAGAAGAACAAGGGTCATTTTACAGATATTGGTAAGTGAGAAGGATGAAAACAGGATTTGGTGGAACCGCTTTAGAGAGGATATGAAATCTCCATGTGAAATTTATTAAAGCAAACAATGCATCTATTCTGTAGCTTTTTTAGACATACAGAGGATCAGGTCTTCATCCTCTTTCAAGCTTGTTTCTGCGCTTGAAATTGCACTTGTTATCCACAAAACTAGCTGCAATTACTGTGCTGGAACAGGTGGGGTTGTGAATGACTATATGTCTGCAGACCCAGCCTCATGAAGACTAGATGCAAATGCAGACTGTTTCATTTTGCATGTGAAAAGTGGAATTTTCTATCAGGAAAAGTGAACCTTACTGCCTCACCCAGTAAGTCAGCAGGTTTGGGGTATGAAGTGAGGATCAAAGACTGGATCATCTGTGGCTGCTTCTACTATTGATTGTATAAGCACCTTAAGTGAGTCATTGTTGTCTGTCGTACTTCAGTCTGGACACAAGAACTAGCTCTGTAATTCATGGCAACTTTTAGTTATCCCTGGGGCAACTCTGAAGGAAAGCTGCTGCAATTGTCAGAGTTTGATTTCTCCTTCCTTTCTTGGGTCCCTCCCATGCTTTTGACAAGAAAGGTTGGACCAGATGATTCTTGATGTTCCTTCCAACCTGGTATTCTATAACTAGTTTTCATTTCTCTTTCTTTTCCTTTTTTTTTTTGTGAGGCAGCTGGATCCATGTGCTTTGCTTTCTGCACCACTGCCACAGCTACACATTGCTTGTTTCTGACTTTCTCTGCCTGCTTCCTGGACCTGAAATGGCCCAGATGAACATAGAACCCTCCCTGCAAATTCACCCTGAGCCACCCAGCCTTGATCACAGCTGTGTCTCTGACTGACTTCCTTCTCAGCCAAGCCTTCAGCCTAACAATTCTCCCACCCTTCCCATTACGCCCCACTTGCACATCTAAGGCAACAAGCTTTCAGGTGTGCTG